TGGCTTCAGGAAATGGGCACTTGAAGGAAGCGAGCTTAAACAAAATAGAGTAATTCCCTTAAACAAACTTAGATAACTCACCATTATAAAATCATTAGCAAGGTAATGAGCTATTCATGTCATTAAGCAGTGCATGAGCTAAGCAAAGAACGCGAGTGTTGCTTTACTAGTGGGACACATTAATTAATTCATGATAGAGTGAAAAATCAAAGCTAAAAAAAAAAAACCCTTTGCAGAGCTGACAAACCCAGGCCTCCTGACACAGGGTGTACTTCCAAAAAGGGTGGCCATTTTAGCTCTACTTGTCTCTTTAGCCTCGGACATTAAGGAATACTTGAACTGTATGTAAATCTTTCTGGCTGAAGAGCATAAGATTTGTCTAAACCAGACAATTTTTGTGGAATCAGGCATGGTGTGGTCTGAAAGAGGACTAGCTGATCTGAAATAACTCACTCAGGGATCTGATAGGATGGACCCAAAGCACGTTAGTGTCCTTGGTAGATTTTGGTGCAAACAGCTTATGCCTATGAACTGTAAGTCTGGCGAGGACGAAGGAAGTGTGAGTGTCTGTTCTGGGTCCGCAGTGGCAGCGTGGCTGATGTCAATGCTGCAGGAATCGAGCTGCCTAATTGTGCCACAGTAGCAATTAGTTCTCCAATTTATATACAATATGTATGTGAGGATATTATCTTACTATTTATCTTTTTTTTTCCCCCCCTTGGGTTTTAGGTTTCATAGACCGTAGCAGTTCAATTCTACCTGACTACTATGCCGTCTTCAAAACATAACTAAAAGGAACCATAAGTGCTGGTATTATTCACTTCCCTGTTACGTACAATGTAAATCTTCTGAACTGCCTTTTTTAAAAAAAAGAGTAGAAAAATAAATATAAAAAAAGGAAAATTGTATTTACATGTGATGGGTACTGCAGCATCATCAGACCTGCTGGTTCAAGCTTCAATAACAGAAAACACCCCTGGTGGGAATTGTGCCAAGACGTGGCATCTATGTATAAGACTTTCCTGGCATGTGGATTTGCCATACGTATTCAAGCCCAGCTGGTGGTGCATCCATTTCGTCTTCAGGCACCCTTCATCCTGACAAGCCTCTGTCATCAACTCTAGAGAGCCCTGAGATGGTGTTCAGGGAATCACTGGCCTGGGTAAAGTCTCCGAAAGACCGGCACTAAAGCACTTACACCAAACACTCCTTTCAGGCTGCGAGCACCTTATGAGGATGGTGAAGGAGCGAAACTCCTCTACAGGCCAGCCCATCTGTGAATACCATCTGACTAGAAAGGCATTTCTTTCCCTGGAGAAGTTTATGGCCAGTCGACAGGCATTGTTCGGCTCCCAAGCAGAAAAAGGCATCACCTGTAAAGAACGGGACTCCCTACTGAAGGCTGGTTCAGTTCTAGCAACTGTTTATTTTTCATCTCTTTCAAGTACAATTTTCTAAACCCAGTTGTGAACCCATCAGCAGTAAGCGACAAGAATGTTGAGGATAAGCAAGCAAAACCCATCTCTTCACGGTCACTGCATGGCATTCGCTCAGCTTGTAGTTTGTTTTTACACCCAAGCCTCGTGATTGTGTGAGAGCCGACGCGCGCCCAGCAGTGAGAAAGGCTGGGATTCCCACCCGCTCTGCAGAGGGACACACGACAGGAGGAACTGGGGGTTCGATGAGGGATATCTATCCTCTCTGTATCAGGTGTTTCCAGAACTGATCCTAAACTCATACTGAGAAAAGCACGACAGATTGTGTTACCTGGCCTAACAAAAGGAGTCTGGTGCATTGGTATGGATGGTGAGACTTGTCACTGGTACCGCAGCTGAGGCGTAAGGACAGCAATCCAAGGGTGTTCTGTTTTGGTTTTATTTTTATTATACTGGTTTAACACACAAACTGACACACAAGTAGAGCTCAGAGAGCTGGTCACTCTGGGCCTGGTTTACCTGCCAACTTAAGTGTGTGCTTAATGCTAAGTAAGCATGCAAGCAGCCTCACTGCATTCAAGAACACATCTGACAAGCTTAATTGAAGCTGAACACATGTAAGTGCTTTTCTGAACTTTGGCCAGCACCTCCCAGAATCAAGTCCCTAACTAGTATAACGCCAGCAAGCTGGGGCAAACATTGTCTAGGATTCCTTTCCAGCTCTAACAAGAAACTATTACGCCATGTTTTGGGCCACTGGCCCAAAGCACTGTAGCAAAATTACTGTAAGAAGTTCCAGATTATTACTTCAGGACACCTTTTTTCTTCCACAATATCTATTTTGCTTTGACAGTTTGAACAGAGAGGCCAAAGTTTTTTACTACAGTGTGGTTATTTTGGTTATTATTTTATTATTTTTGCCTTTCTCTCTGTCTTCCATGTATCTATCCCCTCTTTTGTGCTCCCTCTCTACTTCCCCCGATGCCATGCTAACATTGCCCTTTACTGATTGCGGGCCAAGAAGCCTCTCGCACGTGAGCATTTAATGGCCAATGCTGCATAGTGCCAACACTCCTGCCTCTTCTCAGGCCTCCGTCTCATTCCTCTGGGCGCAGGAGTAAAGCAAAAGGACCATGGGGTTGTTCTAGCATCCAGCCTGCCAAATGACACTGGCAGCGAGGCTAACGCACTCCATTTACACTTAGCGGTGGTACTCAATACCTCACAGATTTGCTCTCCATCAGAGACAAGTGAAAGCGTTTCATTCTCATCCGTGGCCATCCTTGCAATGCTATGGATTATTAGCTATTAAATAAGAATTGGCAATTGTAGGATGGAAGATGCTCCAAAGGAAAGTAAAAACCAGCTGGTTTCTGGTGCCTCGTTTTTGAGGCAGCATGCCTCTGATACGATACACTTCCCAGACCAGGAAATGATTTCCGAAGAAACACACACAGTGATCCCTGTATCACCAGCTCACAGTTGCTTTAGATATGAGTTCATCAGTAGTGGAAGCCTTTAATGTTATCAGCTCAGTGCAGCGAAGACAGAGCACTTACTAGCCAGGAATACACTGCTTTGGGGTTATTTTCATGAAAACCCGGGCTTCATGTTTTTAAATTCATTCACATACACATGCACGTATAACAGCACTGCATTACAGCTTTAAAAAGGGAAAACAAAACTCTAGGCTTTCGACTACAGACACATTGCATTAGGGAAGGGCTCTGCAACACAGCTGTTCTGAAGAGCACCAAGCCCTCATGTTCCCAGTACAGATCCCACACCTGCCCAGCATTGGTAGCTTAGAGGTTCAGCACAAAAGGGAAGGAGGCCATTTAAGGAGCAGCAGCGACAGAAATCACAGGACTCACTAGGCTGGTGGGAGAAAAAGATGAGATTTTTGTTTTTCATTTTATGATTAAAATGAAGAGGAAAGAGGTGGAAGTAGCAGACTGCTGTGGTCAGTCTGTTGTCGGTGCTAGCGTCCCCACAGGAAGGGGTAGTCTGTGGGCAACGTCACTCTGGGTACTGCCACCGTCCCTCGTGGGCATGGACCCCAGCAGTACCCACACCTGCCACTCTGGTAGCCTAAATAAACCCTTGGGCACTGGTTGAGGCACGTAACAGCCGAGTCCTGGGTGACGGCCAGACGTTCCCCAGCCACCCTGCCTTTATTTGGATGGGCCCAAGGCAGGTCCCTGCTGACCATGTAGCAAGTTGTCGTGCTCTGCCTGCCGCAGGAGTCATGCTGTCCCCAGGGCAGCTAGTGTGGCAATGCTTTTTTTCTTTTTTCTTTTTTCTTTTTTAATGATGTTAACTCCTGGTTGAGCAGACACCAGGACACAGTGGAAGAACTGCCATATTTCTCCCAAAGTGCAAGTAGAACTTGTTACTGAAAAGGGAGGAGGAGGAGGAGAAAGAAGCCATATAAAGTGTTTGGCGCTGTAGTAAACATCGCAGAACTGGCACTTCATCTGGTTTTAGCTTCAGCGGGTCTGGGTAGTTTGCAAAGTTACCCTTTGGCAAGGCATTCTTCAACAACCTTTCGGTGCCTAAACACCGCAGCGCGTCCTCAGTTTGCACGCCCACCTCTGGCCTCCACGGGAAGTTGCAAGCAAACTGGGGAACAGCTAGTCCTTTTTTTTTTTTAAATGTTTTCTTGAGCACTTGTTTTCTCATCTGTGAAAGCCATCTCTATCACGGCAAAATAGCTGTGATTCTGTTGGGGATGAAAAAACAAAAAAACCCAACAGTCATGATTTCCTCCCCCCTTCAACCTGGATTATATGTAGGACATAAAGATGATGGCATT